GGGGGGGGGGGGGGGGGGGGGGGACGTACGGAGACTAGTCCTAAGCTGCGCAGCGCGCTGTTTAAACCAACAGTTTTAGAGCAGGGTGTGTGAAAGGAGAGAGACAGAGACATGTCTCAGCTGCGCACTGTCTAAACCGACAGGTTTTTTTTTTTTTTGTGGGGGAGGGGTCGGCGGGGGGAGAGACAGACGCACATCTGAGCCATGTGCTGTTTGTACTGACAGCTTTCGAGTGGCGGGGGTGCGTTCAGCATGAGGGTTCAGCATGAAGGAAGAGGCTGCCTTTAGCTTTTTAGCTAGTGCACCTCCATTGTGAGCTGCTAGTTTAGCGTTACGTCAGTGCCGACAGGTGGTTGAGGGTGGGGGGTGGGGTTCGGTAGACTGGGCGCTCGGTTCTGTTGACGGGGTGGGGCGCCCCGCTTGTATAATGGTAGGGGAAACACTGCTAAGATCACTCTGGGTAATACTCAAGTGTTTGGACATAGTTCATTATATCCTTTAGAGGAGAGGCTGCAGTGGGGTTCAGCCATAACTCAGGTGGTAGCTCCACTGGGTAGATAAAACAAGAGCTTTAATATCTGTAATGTTTTTTTATTTTTAGGATATGTGTGCAGAATGGCCGACCCTTCCACCTTTACAGACTGCTGCTGCAGTATCATGAACCAGAACTCTGCTCTTTCTTGGACACCAAAAAAATCACACCTGACTCGTACGCCATTAGCTGGGTAGGTCTTTGCAGAAATATCTCAGTTCTGTTAGTCCTCTATATGTATTGTTGCCATAGTCTGAGCTGTGTGTGTGTGTGTGTGTGGGTGTGCTTGTTTGTAGCTGGCCAGTCTGTTTTCCAGCCACTGCAGGCCTGAAGTTACCCAGGCCTTATGGGACTCTTACCTCCAGCAGGCCGACCCTTTCCTCATCTTCTTTCTCATGCTCATCATCCTTGTCAATGCCAAGTATGTAAGGGTTGTTGGAATCAATTCAATTTCGATTCACTTCAGTTCAGGGCACTGAACAGAATCTACTGTACATAATACATGATATCTTTTTATATTCTAAATGCCTGATTTGTCCTTAGAGAAACGATCCTGGGACAGGAAGGCGACAGCAAAGAGGACATCATCAGTGAGTTTGCTTTATGCCTTGTTTGTGGGTTTGTTCTGCGTCTTGTTTAAAAACTGAGTGTAAACTACTTTCTTTGGAACAGAAATGCTGGAAGCATCTCCCTCCCTCCTGGAAGCAGAAGACATTGAAGATTTGTTTTCACTGGCTCAGTATTACCAGAGTAAAACCCCGCTGTCTCTGAGGAAGGTCAGATCAGTCTGTGCTGTTAAGCTTTTATCATAAGGCAGCTGTACTAAAGACCTTTTCTCGTATTTTTTTGTTGTGTTAGATGAATCAGAATATGTTTGGGAGCAGCCTGGTGGCTCTTAAAGAGGAGGACACAGATCTGAATCAGGCTCTCTGCCTCCCCGTGTCCGTCCCTGAAATCCTCCAGGCCAATCAGCTGCAGCAGGTCAGTGACATGTTTAACTGCTTTCAACCAGGAACTCACCAGCCTTTGCTGAACAAGCCACATTATCATTAGTTTGCTGAAGGTGCAGGAACTTTGGTGTTTGCTGATGATGGATTTTTGCATCTCAGGATGGGGTGCGTTTCTTTGTGGTGGATTGTCGGCCTGCAGAGCAGTACAATGCTGGACATCTGTCCACAGCCTTCCACCTGGACTCTGACCTGGTGGGACATAGTACTGGTGTGACATTATTTCTGTAAATCTTTGTGCACCATCTGAATATCATTTGTGTCTGTTCTTTTCATCCCGCAGATGCTCCAGAACCCCTCTGAGTTTGCTCTTTCTGTGAAGTCCCTCCTGGAGGCTCAGAAGCAGTCTTTAGAGTCGGGATCCATCGCCAGCGGAGAGCATCTGTGCTTCATGGGCAGTGGCAGAGAAGAGGAGGACATGTACATGAACATGGTGCTGGCACATTTCCTACAGGTGAGGGACTTGGGCAAAAGAAAGCAGAAGCTGAAGCAAGCAAATGTTTAATTATATTACTTTAAAACAACAAAAATTCTAACAGTTCATTGTTTTTTGCTCAAATTATTTGCTCATTAAAGATTCTGTGTTGCAGAAAAACAAAGAATATGTGAGCATTGCTAAAGGTGGCTTTATGGGTAAGTGTGTTAAACATTCCCACATCTTTTCTTAGCATGACCATTACTTCCAGTAGATGTTACATTTCTTTGATGAAGAATAATTTGCCAGGACCTGTACCAGTTTTGTGGTTTATTCAGATGAAACTTTACAACCCTGAATCCTGCGGCCGTGTTGGTTTTAGAGAGAAGAGGCTTTCTCCCGCAACATTTCCAAACAAGTCATACTTGTTCATATGTTTTATAATTCATGATCTTTGAACTGTAACCTCCTAACTGAGGCCTTTACAGTCTGAGATGGAGCTCTTGTATTTCTATGTCTATGCACAGTCTGACATTAAAGGACATTTTCTGGGACTTTCAGTCCTGGAAATATTGAGTTTTCTTAAATATTCTCCATTGTTGCTACTCCATATCGTTTCCTCCTTTAACTCTTCCCAAATTTATGAACAGCAACATTTGCATCTCTGAGGTCATTGCTGATATCTTTCTACCTTAGCATTGTGTTAACACACGTCTGTATTGTCCAGAGCAGCAAGCTGAAAACCCAGTGGTAGCAGAAAAGGAGGGATGCAATGCTTCACACACTTGTTTTACATTTTGACTTTACTGTTAGTTCGTTAAATAATGTCACATTGGAGCCTGATTGCTTATTTGTCCTGAAGCGCTGACAAAAGGGGCGATTGTGTCTGAGAGGTTGGTCAAAGCTGCTTGTATTGTTTAGAATGAAGGTTTACAACCGTGCGTCTTGCTTCAGCTCTCCAGAAGCATCTGGTTGACATGAACGTCGAGGGCCTGGACTCTTCCTATGTCAACTGGATTGTCAGCACTTCTGGATCTCACAGCAACCTCAGTTCTTCTTATGTAGGTTTAAAAGAAATACAATTTATCATAAAACATTACTGACACTATTTGCTGATTTGCACAATTAATTTTTGTATTTGGTTTTTAGCTGCAGATTTTTATTCTTACTCGTGCTTCTGTAACAACACAGGGAGAGCTGAGCAGCCCTGGAGATGGCAAAGGTGTCAAATCTCTAGTCAACAAAATGACTTTTGCTCTGAAATCCAAGTCAGTCAATGTAAAGGAGAAGATGATCAGCTTCATTGAGAACACCTCCACACCTGTAGACAGGTAGGAACCCAGATCCTCTTCTGAATTTCATATTAAGAAGTCTTCATCCTGGACTCCTGCATTACAACACACATCATGGCATCATACTGGGCCCTTGGCCCCATGTCAAACTACACTTCTGGCCTACAACAGACTTTCCAGATACATTTGGTTTTTATGCTTTTTAGGGAAGAACAACCAAACTAAGTGCATCAGAATATGTTGAATTAGGCATTTCAACATTTGAGATAAACTAAATAACATAACTAGATAAACTAAAATGACAAGGTACTGGTGAAAAGTGGTTTGTTTTTTAATGATTATTTTTGTGTATGCGTTCTTTACATTTAGTATCCTGATGCTGCTCAACAATCCAGGTAGAAAAATCTAAAAAAAAAAGTCAGGTTCTCTGGATGGATTCTTCTTGAAATGTTTCGTCTTTTATCCATGCTGCTGATTATTTCCTGTTGCTGTGTTCATTGCTCCTCATCTGCTCACACAGACTCATGTTCGTGCTGCTGTTGTTTGGCGCATTGTTTTTGTACCGTGAGGCTGAGTGTATCCTTAGTCTTGTGTATTCTTAGTTTAGTGAATGTAGTATATTCTTACTATATTCTTAGTTCATGACTCGGATCTTAATAACGTTTTTTTTACAATTTGTGTTTTTGTTGGATGTAACTGGGACCCTGCGTACATAGTTTCGTCCCACCTCATGTGTGCTGGTGAAGATTCTCAGTCATCCAGGACACGATGAATTCAAAAGTGTTCAATTCAAGAACAACTGGACTTTATGTGTAACAGAAGACGTTTCGCTCCTAATCCCAGGAGCTTTCTCAATTCAAAGAGCAGAGAGTGAGAGGTTCAGGTTATAACCTGAACCTCTCACTCTCTGCTCTTTGAATGGGTTTGTCAATATAAAGTATTTCATTATTACTTCTATACTGTTAAGGTTTTATAGTAGAACAGTTAGCATAAATAACAATATTCTTCCTTCCTCGTTTTCACGTTTACATACGTGAACCTCAAAAACGAATATTCTTGACTTCTTCAACAGGGTCACCTGCCTAATCCGGTTCCATATCCGCCCCCTGAAACATTCGCATTCTGTTTATTTTTTCTTTCATCTCAAAAATCTCTTCTCTGGACTTTCCTAGAATAAACATATTCTTCACTGGTGTAGAAATAAGAATACATAGAAATATGTGATTTTAACATTCAGTGAAAACAAATAATCATAAGAGGAAAGGTTTCAAAGGATAGTGGGGCATTGTCAGCGATGTTAGTCAGTTAGCGTGATTTATTTTATTCTGCTGACCTCATTCAGCCTGTAGGAAATAACTTTATTAAGCGCATGCACAGAAAATATATATTTTCTTTGGTCCTCAAAACAGCACAATACAACATTAAACATTAATTCCCCTGTATAATGGAAGAAAGTCAAAGTCAGTCAATTTATTCAGCTTGGCATTGCAGCTCTGGAGATCTGTCTGGATTAGGGCTGCAACTAACGATTATTTCAATAATCAATTTATCGGCCAATTATTTTTTTGATTAATCGATGAATCGAAAGAAAAAAATAAAAACATTTTAATTTCCACCCCTTTATTCCAAAATTTAACATTTGACTGACATAGCAATTCACACTAAAAACAGGTTGCTATTTGACTATTGTGTTAGTAAAATATTGAATAATAAAAAATAAAAGTTAGTCAAATAGTTTAAAAAAATAAATGTACACAAAAATACATACAAATGTGTCTTTATACCTGCACAGTATGTAGCTACATTGTCAAATGTGTCCTTGAGGGAAGAGTGTAACCTGGATTAAAAGTGTGGATTATTGTAACCTGGATTAATAGTGTGGATTATAGTAACCTGGATTAAAAGTGTGGATTATAGTAACCTGGATTAAAAGTGTGGATTATAGTAACCTGGATTAAAAGTGTGGAATATTGTAACCTGGATTAAAAGTGTGGATTATTGTAGTGAAGCCTTCGTCTTCAACCATGGACAGAGGCCTCATGTCAGTGACGATCATGTTCAGGATGTTTCAGTGAAGACAGCTGCTGCTGTGGTGTCCATGATGTCTGTCCATCATGAAGGATGTTGTTGTTTGTTGTTGTTTTCTGGAATGAGACAGTAAATATGTTTTATATCATAATTTACAGCAACTCAAGAAATGCCTTGTTTCACTTACAGTGTTAGGTTCAGGCAAAAGTAGCTAAAAGAGCAATTAAACACACACACACACACACACACACACACACACATATAAAATACTTAATTACACACATTTCAGTAGATGTAATAAATTACTTTAATTCCTGTTTAAATGCAATTCATCCTGCCATACCTGCAGTGTCTTCAGACTTTGCCAGCAAATTAAAAGTTGAAGCTTAATCATTAAATTATTATCTTTGTGTTAGATTTATTTATAAATCACATTTAAACGCTGCTTGTACCAATTAAATTAAATAAAAAGTAACACACGTTCTCTATCACCGTCATTAATCAGACAAACAAACAAGCAAACAAGCAGCAGCTTCATCTTCAGACAGACTGACGTTACATTTTCTCTCTTGAAACAGAACAAAGTGTTAAATTGTAGAGACTCACCTGCAACACCAGTTGGGAGTGAGACATGTTGTATCAGCTGCAGCTCCTTCCTCCTCCTTGTGACTCCGACATGTTTACGTTTTATCTCCGTGGTTCTCTCGTGTCGTGTCGTAAATTTTCAAAGCTGCATGTTTCTCATTTTTTATCTTTGTGAAGTTCTCCCACACTTTGGAGGACTTGGGTCGAACAGTTTTCGCTGCGTTGGTCATTTGTAAAATTTATTTAAATTTCCTTTGAAAACAGCCTCTGCTTCCCCCCCCCCCCCCCGCTGCAGTTTTTTCTTTTCAAACTTTATTCAGTCGGTCAGCATTGACAATGAACTGCAGGTGAACAAAACAAAACGGCTCCACAGCGCCGTGAAAGACGCATAATCGCACGACAACGAATCGATAACGAAATTCGTTGCCAACGCTTTTAATCATTGATTTTTATTGATTTTATCGATTCATTGTTGCAGCCCTAATTGTTTCCTCTGGTATCAGATGCTGTGCAGCTGGAAGGATTTTTACTGAAACTTTTTTAGTTTTGGACATTTGTTATGATGCATAACCATGGCAACAAGGCAGTTTTCTACAACCAACAGCAGCTGATTAACATCTCAAAGCTCAAATAATATCTCAACTACAGCCCCAAATCTCAAATGAGTTGAAAAGGAGGCTCTGTGGATGCATTCTCAGCGACCTGCCAGCTGTGCTCAAGTGTCTGACCACTGAATTTATAGGTAAGATGGCGCCCGTGTACATGGCCTGCAATCTACCTCTGACGATACTGTTTGGATTATTTCTGCTCTTTTCGTTTTTTGTCTGGGATATCAACTCGCTGCTTGTGTATGACCGACAACAGCTCCTCGATCTTCGATTGTCTGTTTCTGCTGTCGCTGATTCTGACCATTTTGATCGTGACTCGGGACCCCCCCCTCTTCCACCCCTTCTGGCAGACGTGCCTGCTTCTTTACGCTGGGCCCCAAGCCAGCCTTCTCGGAGATATCAATCCAGACGCCAGGGTAAACGTGCCGGCCGGCTGGTGAAACTCAAAGCTCTGCGTGGTCAACGTTTCCACAGCCAGCTTCCTACGTGCCCGGACCAGGGAAAATATGGGTGTTGTCTACCGGCCCGGCGCTTGGACCGTCCTGCAGGTGCTGTTTTTGAAAATCTGCAACCGTTGGCGCGCACCACCCCCACCATGGCTGGTTCTGTGTCGGACCAGATCAGGACGTGCCTCATCAACACAAGGTCTGTTGCCAACAAGACTTTTATCCTAAATGACTTTTTTAAAGACGAGGGACTAGATTTTCTTTTTCTCACTGAATCCTGGTTGCCTTTGGGTGATTCAAGCGTCTTGGTGGAACTTTTACCTCCGGACTGTCTGTGTTTTAATGCCCCGCGGCCATCAGGTCGGCGGGGTGGTGGAATATTAACTGTATTTAAATCAAACTTTTCCTGTAAACAGTTGTCCACCCTCATGCCCTGCTCCAGTTTTGAGCTGAGTGCTTTTGAACTCGGACATTCCCCGCCCGTTCTGTGTGCGATTGTTTATCGCCCCCCTCGTTCCAAGGACTTCATAAGTGAATTCTCTGATTTTCTGGCTTACATCACACCAAGATATGATCACTTTATTATCGCTGGTGACTTTATTATTCACGTCTGTTGTCAGGAGAAGCCGTTAGTGAAGGACTTCCTTGATTTGTTGGACTCATTTAATTTAACTCAACATGTAAATGCTCCCACCCAACAACACGGTCACACTCTGGATTTCATTTTAACACGTGATGTCTCTGTTTGTAATCTGGTAATCGGTGACAACGTTCTCTCAGACCACATGCCTGTCTTGTTTGATATCATCCCGCCTTGTCCTACTGCTAAGTCATGTGATTCTGCACGTACTTCACGTGCCATTAACCGTTTCACTGCTGCACATTTTACTGAAGCTTTTAGCTCTGAGAGGATCGATCAGCTCTCCGTGTCTCTCTCCACCGAGGAGCTAACCTCTCAGCTTAACTCTGTTTGCTTAAATATTCTGGACCGTGTTGCTCCCGTTAAAACCAGGAAAACAAAACTTTTATCAGAACCATGGCTTAATGACGTCACTCAAGCCGTTAGACAGCAGTGTAGGAGAGCAGAACGCAGGTGGAGGAAAGACAGGCTGCAGGTTTCTTTTCAAATCCTAAAGGAGAGTTGGCGTCATTATCAGAAGGCAGTTAAAGCCGCCAAATCGAAGTTCTTTTCTGCAATAATTGCCTCAAACTCCGACAACCCCCGAGCTCTTCTTTTTTCCACCCTGAACTCAGTTCTACACCTCAGTGAACCTTCACCTCTAGAAGCCTCAACTGAGCTGTGTGAAAACTTCCTCCATTTCTTTTCTGAAAAAGTTGCAAACACCCGGGCACTCATTTCTCCACCTGCTCA